ACACACACACACACACACACACACACACACACACAGGCTGGGACAAAAGTAGACTTATAGTTGTTCATATGGAAAATAATACAATAATCTCTCTATTTAAAGAGGTAATATGCAAATTAGGCCAGGATGCTGTTATGGTCATGACCAGCTAAGGAAGAGGGGCCAGGCATCAGCCAGAGGCAAAAAACAAACAAACAAACAAAAAAAACAGGGAGGCCCAGAGCCAGAAAGAACAACATGCAGGGCAACCCAACCCCAGCCTCAGTGGCCCAAGAGCTGGGCTCCTAGGACCAAAGCGGAGACACAATACACAGGGGGGCCCACCCCAGCAGACACAGCATGCCAGCAGTCCCACCTCTGCGGGTGAGCTGCCTAGGAAACACCTTTTCTGACTGCTCATTAGCTAAGCTCCCTGTATGTCACTGGCAGTGTTCTTGGTAACTTGAGTAATCAGAATCCAAGAAGGTGATCTAGGGTTTTTCCACCTCATTCCTGGAAAAAAATAAAAAATAAAGATCCATGGCCAAGAAATGTCATATTGTTCCCTAGCCAGTTTGGCTCAGAGGGTAGAGCCTTGGCCTGCTGACCACAGGGTCCAGGTTTGATTCTGATCAAGGGCATGTACCTAGGTTGCAGGCTCCTTCCTGGCTGGGTCCCAGGTCAGGGCTCATGTAGGAGGCAACCAATCAACCAATCAAAGTGCCTCTTACATTAATGTTTCTATCTGTCTTTCCCTCTCTCTTCCATGCTCTCTAAAAATTAATGGGAAAATATCCTCAGGTAAAGATTAAAAAGAGAAAAGAAAAGAAAAGAAAAGAAAAGAAAAGAAAAGAAAAGAAAAGAAAAGAAAAGAAAAGAAAAGAAAAGTCATCCTATGAAAGACACATCTTGAAAATACCTAAAGAAAGTTGTCATTTTTTCGTGTGAAGGCACTGGAGTCCGTGTTGATGAAAAAACTTTGGCAGCTGCAGCAGCTGGCAGTGGCAGCAGTAGCAGGGTGATGGGGGTGGCACCTTCCCCTGATGATCAGCCCAGTCACCTCCCGCAGAGGAAGGCCAGACTGCAGCTTAAGCCCACTCCCCTGAGAGCTGTCAGTAGGACATCCCCTGAGAGCTCCTGGACTGTGAGAGGGGGCAGGCTGGGCTGAAGGACTCCACAGTGCATGAATTTTGTACACCGGGCCTCTAGTTAATACATAATAATATAAGAATAAACCTTGTGTTTCACATACTCACAACTATAAACCTACTTTTGTCCTACCCTGTATAGGAGAAAAAATCAGGCAACATGATAGATAGTCAAAAGATTTGCATAGGTACTTGGCAGAAGAACATATTCTACATAGAGTGACCATAGAATATATCATTCAAACTGAGACTACTTTTGAGGGTGAAAGGGGCCTACTCAGAATTATCCCACAACAACAGAAATAAGCCAGGCTGACCTAACCTGAGACCTACATTAGTATGATAATGGCTTTTGTCATAAAAGCCAAAATCCTCTTCAGATTTCTTTGGGTTAGCGAAACCCAATACTATTATAATATGGGTCTTTTGTGAAAGCCAGTGACATAACTTTCAGAAAGTGGGGGACACCTGTCCTGACCTTCTGATGATATTTTGGAAGGAGGATCAAAACTGGCATGAATTTCTTTTTCCTTCTTCACAATTTCATGTATAGAAAACTTGTTCCTAGATCTTAGCCACCTCAGCATACTGTTCTTCTTTCTTTATAAGTCAAGATCTTTCATCTTTTCATCTTAAAGGAAGCACTTTATGGCTTCTTTTGGGTACACCTGAATTGCCAGCATCACTGTTCTTGCACGTCGGGTCCATCATTAAGTAAAACAAGGGTGACTTGAACCCAAGCACAGTGACACTGTGACAGCTGATCTGATAACGACAGCTACTAAGTGACTAACCAGCAGTGAGTGTCTACAGTGTGGCAAAGGGATGATTCTCAGCCCAGGCAAAACGGGGTGGGACTCACAAGATTTCATCATGAGCTGAAACCGGTTTGGCTCAGTGGATAGAGCGTTGGCCTGTGAACTGAACGGTCTCAGGTTCGATTCCAGTCAAGGGCATGTACCTTGGTTGCGGGCACATCCCCAGTAGAGGGTGTGCAAGAGGCAGCTGATGGATGTTTCTCTCTCACTGATGTTTCTAACTCCTCTATCCCTCTCCCTTCCTCTCTGTAAAAAAATCAGTAAAAAATAAAAATAAAAGATTTCATCATGTTACAGTCTTCAATGTAAAACTTATAAATTGTTTATTTCTGAAATTTTCATTTAATACTTTTTGATCTTGCTTAACGACACAGAAAGCAAAACCATGGGTAAAGAGGACTGTTATAATCAGTTATTTCTCCAGGAGGAGTGAAAAAAACTTACATAGAAAGAACTATCAGGTTGAGCCCTGAAGAATGTCCTCCAGTTCACTGAGATACAATGAAGGACATTCCAGGAGAAGAGAACACCATGGGGAAATTGAGGGCATGCAAATGTATGCATAATTTGTCCATTCTTCTCTTTCTCAACCCAGTCAATTAAAACTGGAGAAAATGTGGGTGACCCACAGACCACAAAGTAAATACCTTACTAGTCTCCAAAATTAGCTGATAAGTTCTGTCCACACAAAGTGAAAAGGGTTGGAGAATTAACCAGATGCTACATGCTATGAGATAAAAGTAGCTGAGGATTAAGTACCCCTGCTTACTGCTCTTCAGAGATAGACTTTGGGTTGCGTTGCATAGAGCCCTAGGGCAGTGGTCAGCAAACTGCAGCTCCCGAGCCACATGTGGCTCTTTGGCCCCTTGAGGGTGGCTCTTCCACAAAATATCAGGTACCCTAATTAAGTTAATAACAATGTACCTATCTATATAGTTTAAGTTTAAAAAATTTTGGCTCTCAAAAGAAATTTCAATTGTTGTCCTGTTGATATTTGGTTCTGTTGACTAAAGAGTTTGCCTACCACTGCCCTAGGGTATGCCCCAGAGGGAACACCACAGAAGCCACCTCGGAGTGAGAGCAGAAAGGAAAACAATGTCCCATAGTCTACAGCCCTGATATAACCAGAACTTCTCCTCTTTTATCTATTTCCTGAATTTGTGTATTCTGTTTAAGATTTTACCAAGGAAGTCATTTCCCATGTAACAGGGCAGTTATTCTACTTTTTTTTAAATAAAGTTTTTAAAAAATTGATCTATAAAGTACAAATTTACAGAATAATCATACAGCCACTTATTGCACTCTGTGGAGACACAGTTTAATCACTGTTAAGTAAAAAGAAAATTTGGTTGATTTTTATTCCTTTGAAATTATAATCCACCTGATTCTAGTCTATGGTGAAGTAACACCTACTTGTGAGTCAGAGAAGAAAGCCCTCTATTACAGTGGTCTGGGAGATGAAGGAGCTTGTCCAGCGCTAATTTTGCTTACCTCTCCTCACTCTCACATCCTGCACTGAGGGGCGGATACTTTGCTCTGGGAACCATGAGCCTCTTCAAACCTGTCTCTTGGTTGCCATGCTGTTTTGGGCCTGGGTGTGAGGAATAAAACATGATCTCATGCTCTGCTTTCAGATTTCCCCATTTAGTCTCAGTTCGTGACTTTATTTGCATGTATTTACATTCTTTATTTCATTTATGAAATAAGTCGAGAGATTTTGCAGGCCCACTTAATGTGCTAGCATACAGGATGCCCAGGCCATTTCCAGATAGTGTGTATATTCAAATGATTCATTTCCTCTGTTCTGTCCTTCAAATCTCTTAGGATCATAGTTCTTCTTCTAGCAAATGGAATGTTATAATTTTTAGAAAAGCAATTTTATAAGTTCCTGAAGCAATAGATATATGTGTGTATGTCATTAAAATTGACCAGATATGTATATATATATATATGTTTGTATATAAATATGTTTATTACATATTACACATTATATATTAGATATATGTATAATTTGACTATATTACTTGTAAATAAAAGAGCAATCTTCAAGTCCCCCTCCCCCCTTTACTTCCTAGTTATAAGACCTTAGGTTCCTGGACTGTAAAGTAGGAGTAGGTGTTATATAAATCATATTGACAGAGTTTGTATAAAGATGCATCGTATTTGTATGACAGGATAGCATGCTATAATTGATCTTCATTTCCTGCCATTGTTCTTCCATGGCTTTGACCATGAACTGAGAAAATTAATTTTAATTAACTCTTGTTAGAATTGTTATATCCAGGTGAGTACTGTTTTTCCATGTGACTACCCTAGGTCGGCAAACTCATTAGTCAACCGAGCCAAGTATCAACAGCACAATGACTGAAATTTCTTTAGAGAGCCAAATTTTTTAAACTTAAACTTCTTCTAATGCCACTTCTTCAAAATAGATTCGCCCAGGCTGTGGTATTTTGTGGAAGAGCCACACTCAAGGGGCCAAAGAGCCGCATGTGCCTCGTGAGCCGCAGTTTGCCGACCATGGCACTAGGAACCGGAAATGTATTTCAGTCGTCTTTGTTCAACAAAATGTATTGGCTACCACTGTCTGGTATAGAATGAGTGAAAATTCAGATATGATATATCCCTTATAGTACTGGAGAGGAATGTAGCATAGGGCAAAGGCATCGGTTCTCCAGCCATACTTGTCAGAGTCTGAATCCCAGCTTGGCCATTTGCTGGCTGTGTGTCCTTGGGAAGTTATTTCACCTCTATGAAATAACTCTCACCTCCTTTGCTGTAAAATTAAGGAAATAATAGAAACTATTATTGTGAGAGTTTATGAGTTTTAACCACTGAAGACAGTGCCTGGCACATAATAAACATGACAGAAATAATAGCTCTTAGTAGTATCCCCTTGAGAAGGTGATATTGAGACAAAGGAGAGTCTTCAAAATAGTAAAAGAATGAATAAATGAGTGGCCTATATTCCACTCCAGGCACGAGTCTTTCCTTACATTCAGTTATTACCAGTGGTCAAGCTAACCATCTGTTTTTTTCTCTGTGCTCATTTCAGCTCGTCCAAGGCAGTGGCCATGAACGTGACCCCACAAAAAAGCAGTCAACGAAAAGGTACTTTTTAAATGATAATTCAAGTGTATGAAAACAGCTAGTTTTCAAACATCGCTGATAAGCATATAAACTGGTGGAGGGAGTGCTCTTCTCTAAACTTATCCCATAAAATAATCACAAATATGTCCCGGAATTTACATAAAGGACACTCACCTTCTCTGAGGGGGGTAGGACTTGGGTCCTGCTGAAGCCTGAGGGCTACCATTTATTGGATACCTGCCAAAAAAGCAAGACAGCTCAATGTACATTTTTGCCGTTGACATATCTCAAAACCTCTGCAAGGAAGGTTTAAATCTGCATTTTAAAGATAAGTAAAGCAGAAAACACAGTGGTTGACTTATTTTCCCATAGTTGTCCCCTGGTAAGTGAAAGACCTTGAACTTGAATCCAGGTCTGTGTGATACCAAAGCTGTGCTCATTCTAATGGGCCACTCTCCTCTGTGGCACACATGCCAGTTACTGTTATCCACATCCAACCCCGTGACTCTATGAGCCAATGAATCTGGGACTGTCCCTCTACTATTCACAGATGTCCCTCTCACCCGATCACCTGGAAGTCAACCCTTTAAAGAACCCCACGAAGAGGGCAAGTAGGTTATTGAAGCTCATCTGCCTATTTTCTCAGCTCCACTCTTTCCCTTTCTTGGAACCATCTTTTGGGGCTCCTCTGCCCACTATGTCTCAGTAGTTCTGTCTGGTGGAAAGCATTGGCAAGAAATCAGGAAGTTAGAAAAAGGGGGAGATCAGAATATTTCTGTTCTCCCCACTTATAGAGGTAACTCCAGCATGGCTGCCATGCCTCTGTAGTCCATCATCTTCCAGGCAACCCTCTGCCCTGGACACCAATGCCTGCTAACTGATCCTTCCTCCAAAATTCCAGCTACTGCCAATGGAGCACTGGTTCTTGGGTCCTACCCTCTGTCCTCTCTTAGTCTGAGCCTTGGACTGAAGGCGATTTCCTACAATTATGAATCTCCAATTTGTCTCACCTTCCTGTTTCCCACTCCCCACAGACCTCTTTGACCAGATCCTGCAATTGACTACCTGGTATGGTCCAATTCTCCTGCCTGACTGCCAACAGATGCAGAATGCTAGAACAATAGTTATGATGTAGGTAGTTTTCTGGGGGCTCTGATACAGATTTCCCCAGAAACTAAAGAATTGATGACAAAGAAGGAAGAGCACTGGGCTTGGTACAAATCTAGAGACCAGTTTCAAGTTCCTGCTGGGACTCTGAGCACATCGTTTGTCCCCTCTGGGTCTCAGTTTCCTCATCCAGAAAATGGACACATGGACACTTTCAAGTCTTATGAGATTAAATTTCCTGTTCTGGGTCTGTAGTTTTCAAAGGCATCACTGCGCCCTGGCAAGCAGTGCCTGCACTGCCCTCATTAACCTCTGAGACCTTCTGCATAACAGATTGGGGGCGGGGGGGGACACTGCTCCTGGTCTCCAGGGTGCAAGTGGTCTTGCTCCTGCCATTTCCTTTCTATCCAAAGCCCAGGCCCTGTGCCCTGCACACTCACTTGCTTCCTGCCTACCCACTCAGGGAACAATCACATGTTACCAGGAGCATCATGGTCTCTTTGCTGTAAGTCAAAAAATGACCATATAACTCAATAACTCATTATAAACAGTAGGGACCAGTGATTTTGCCCTGAAGATTTTCACTCAGAATTCAGCAAACTTGGGTATGGTAATTAGCAGGCATGTACCTTGCTGTTGCTCACTTGGGAGCAGACTGACTGGAATATCATAAGCATTGCTCCTACCGAAGGCCACACGCACACAAGCCCAGCAGACATGTTATTAACATGCAGATCCTGTCAGCTGTTCTGTAGCCATAAAGCCCCACTTCAGTTTCTGAGAAACCTCCTATGAGCTCCTGGGCTGACCCACTAGCTAGAAAGAGGCCCAAGTCAGGGAACTGCCCTTGAGAAAGACCCAGGAGAACAGAGCCTCAATTTATTTTTTAAGCCAAGCTCTCCTTCAGAAACCTCTCTTTTCCTTTCTAATCCAATACTTCAAATTAAATTATGCAAATATATTATGTGGTTATTTTGGATTTTTTCATAAAATCAAATGAAAGCAACGATGTGCTTTTTCAACAGTTGGTGATCCCCAGCTCCCAAGGGGTATGCTACATTTCCCCAGTGGCAACTTCATCACCCCCACCCATGCATGGTTGGAAATCACTGATCTGGAAGGAAAGTACTGTATCTTTCAGCTAAAAGAGAATTGCCCCCCCACACACACACACACCTTGGGCTTTCTCAATGTAGATGCATGGAGGAACCTTGAGGCAATGGAGACAACTCGGGCTCAGGTGGTGGGCACACCTGGGTCCAAGTTTCAATCTGAAGAAATAGCAAACCCCCACCGAATGGGTTTGTTGTGAGGATTGAATGAGACGGGTGAACTGATACATGAGGTCGATAACCCATAGAGGTTTTTCCTACCTGAAGGGGCTGTGTCAAGTGTTTTGCAAGCTCACCTACTGCTCACAGTGACCCTCCATGAGAGGTATGCTATCTCAGTTTACAGAAGGGAAAACTGAGGCTCAAGAAATTAAGTCTCTCATCCAGAGTTCTGAAGTTATTAAATGACCAAGAAGGGAATTAGAGCCCTAACCAGTTTTGCCCAATAGATAGAGCATCAGCCTGTGGACTCAAGGGTCCCAGGTTCCATTCTGGACAAGTGGGGGATGTGCAGGAGGCAGCCAATTGATGATTCTCTCTCGTCGATGTTTTTAACTCTCTCTCCCTCTCCCTTACTCTCTGTAAAAAAAAAATCAATAAAATATATATTTTTTAAAAGAAGGGAATTAGACCCAGATCTATAACACCCATGAATAGCATTTTGGACTAGCATGTTAGCATCCTTCCCTCTGTCAGCAAAACTACTTATGCTGACATCCACCATGATGCCATTATTTCTATAAGAGCAGTTATATTAGTGTCACATGCTGCCATAACAAAATAACATGTATGGGGTGACTTCAACAACAGAAGTTTATTTTCTAAATTCCTGGAGGCTAGAAGTCTGAGATGAAGGTTCCAGCCAGTTTTGTTTCTGGGAAGAGCTGTCTTCCCGGCTTACAGACAGACTCCTTTTTGCTGTGTCTTCATGGGAAGAGAGAGTGAGCAGTGGTGCTTTTTCCTATAAAGACACTAATCCTATCAGATCATTTAACCTTAATTGCTTGCTTTGAGTCCCCAGCCACACTGGGGGGTTAGGGCTTCAACTTAGGAATTTGCAGGGGAGGTACATGCATTCAGACCATAAAAGCAAGAATATTGTATTAGTTAGCTCACCATTCTATCCCCTATTCTTAGTACAGCCTGAAACAGAGTTGATTGACACTCAGAAAATATTGACAAAATAAGTGAATGAGTTGATAAATGAATGAACACAAAATAAACTTGAATTAATATAGGACACTGATTCTAAACCTTTTCACCAGTAGGAATTCATTTTATTAATTTCTTCCCATGGGCCCCGCGCTTTGATAAATTTCATCTTCCAAGCTGAGACTAGTAACAAATTGTTTTTTCCCATGTTTAATTAATCAAAGACAGATAAATTGCTAACCAGTACTTCTAATCAGCATGAAATATGTAAGCACTATAACTTAGCTTGAGGAGTTTAATTCCAGGCTAACACAGATACAATAACCTGTTGGCCCAGGTGCCCTTACTGTAAGCAAATGAACAATGAATTACTCTTAAGACTTCATATTCAAAACTAATGTATGAATCTGTAGGTATCTGGGGAGCCCATTTGGGGAAACACTCCCCTAGTGTAAGCAATATTATACAACAGAGTGGCATCTTATCGAAGATTTGGGTTCCAATGTGAGCAATTAAGAAAACACATGCATTTGGTCAAAATTATCTTTGAAAATGTATTAAATCATCCAGATTCAAAGTTTTGTATATACAGTCTTCTGTAGGAATAAGTGTCTATAAATTTGCAATGTGTATAATATGCAGCACATGACCAAGTAGATTTATGCTTACCCCAATTGACTATTGTGTTATACCCCAATTGAATTGAATATTCAAGATGCATGTATGATTGAATTGAAAGTCAGAAGTGCATGGCATATAATGCCATCATATTTTTCACATAAAGACGATAATGCACATAAATATTTAGATTATAAAGAATAACTAAATAAATACCAATGTACTTTCAACCAGGTTGAAGCAATAGAACATTTCCAAGAATTTTATATTCCTATATTGCCCTCCCTACTAGCATTCCTCCATCTACCCTATCCTAGCTTAACACTGTCTGAATTTTGCTTTGTTTTTCAGCTTCATCACATGCTTGCATTACCAAACAATACATTACTTAGTTTTGCTTGTATTTGAGCTTTATGTAAATAGTATCATATGGTATGAGTTCATGTGATTTACATTGTGTAAATATGTTTTTCCCTAACATTATGTTTCTTTGTCTGTGCATGTGTCTCTAGTTCATTCATTTTTACTACTTTATAAGAAGTACACTCTTTTGCTGAGTGTAGTCACTTTTATCTAATTTACTCATGAAATGCATCAACATGAGAGAAAAAAAAACAATCACTAATTACTACAACCAACAACTCCTAATCTAATGTCATTAACAAAATAAGGAGATAACCAAGATGGCAGCATAGGTAAACACCTATATGTGCTGTTTCTCACAACCACATCAAAATTACAACTAAAAGGCAGAACAACAACCACCCAGAACACAGGAAAGCTGGTTGAGTGGAAGTTCCATAACTAGAAGGGTGAAGAAAGTACAGTGAGACTGGTAAGAGGTGCAAAGGCATGGAAAGTGCTGACACCTGAATGTGCTGCTCTTTTAATCGGGAGGGAGATACAAGCTCCCATTTGCTCTGAACTCCAATTTTGGGCAAGATTCTGGGGGACCCAGACACATATGGGGAGAAACTGGACTGTCTGGAATCTGGCTGGAAAGAGAGGGTGGCTTTCTCTCAGAGGTGCTCA